GGTTCTGTGATTAGTACTGAGTCATGGTTCTGTGATTAGTACTGAGTCATGGTTCTGTGATTAGTACTGAGTCGTGGTTCTGTGATTAGTGCAGAGTCATGGTTCTGTGATTAGTACTGAGTCATGGTTCTGTGATCAGCCTGAAGGTCCCTGAGGACAGAGATGTTGGTCCTGTAGATCTGAAAGGATCTGAGGGGTCAGCTGGTTCTGTGACTCTGAACCAGTCGGACCCTCAGAGGTTCTGTTGTCCCCTCAGGAGAACGATGAGGACTGGTGCAGAAAGATCCAGAGTAAGACGTTCTGCTGGTACAACAGTCAGTGGCTGGGCATGGTGGAGAACCGCCAGCTGGACGGGACCACAGAACCTCAGCAGTACGAAGTGGACCAGGACTTCCTGGAGAGGCCCGACTTGTTCTCCACTGCAGGTATTGATGGACCTTAGACCAGGACCAGGAGTCCAGAGACTATTCTGGATCATCTCTTCAGTTTGTTCTGCTGATCCAGGTTCTAACAGGCTCGGTTCTGTGTGTGGTGTTCTGTTCTAGATGGGATCATCTCAGCAGACGGTACCACGGGTCCGGACCAGTTCTTCCCTGACTTTCAGAACAGAGACGATGGAGAAACCAAACACCTGAGCAGGTCTGTGCCTCTGGGTTCAGATTAGTATGCCCCTCCCCCCACCAGTCCCACCCCAGGTTCTCCAACATGTGGAACCTCAACCCAGAGTCTGTAGGACCGGGCCCGGTCCGTTAGCAGCAGAACCTTCATTTACAGGATTCAGTTTTTTATCAAACAGTTTTTTTTCTCCTCATCAAACTGTTGAAAGTCGCTGCAGGAGCGTTCTGATTGGCTGCTGCTTCCGATCAGCTGACGGGGCCAGAGGGGCCAGGCTGTCCGGGTCAGGTTCTGGCTCCGCTCGTTCCTCAGAGACCAGTTCCTCAGAGACCAGTTCCTCAGAGACCAGTTCCTCAGAGTCCTGCTCATCACACCAGTTCAGTACATCTCAAATCTAAAGATTTGAATCAGAACAAACAGATAAATCCTCAGATCTGTTGTCTGGATGATCAAACTCCTTCTCTAAAGATAAAACAATTAAAACGTGTAAAGAAATAACGCTTACCTAATTCAATAGACAATAAAAATAAATAAATAAAAAGTTTAAATCTATATTTACAGTACATTTTATTGTTTTTTTATTCTTAAAAACAGATTTAATTTGACTAAATTAAAATATTTTTGTTTAAAGTCAAACAGGTTTAAGG